TTCTGGAGCATCGCTCCCCCCAGAGAGAGTAGAAAGCCATGTCTGGGTAAGTTAAACAAGATTGAGGAATGCTCATGTAAACACAGTTGTGTGCTTGCGGTGTGGGGACAGTCAGAGCTCATCCCACCACAGAAGGGGTTTTCCCAGCCGGAACATCTGCAAGAAAGAAAATCTTTCTGCTTTCTGTAGGAAACTGTACAAGAGTGAGATGTGTTTGTGGAGGAGGTGGACCGGAGCCGCAGAGCCAAACAGCCCCAAGGCGAGCAAACAGGCGTATCACACCTAGCACATCTGCAGGGACACAGCACAGCTGGCAAATCTCTCTGGACAGGTACAGAATAGCCACCACTGGGGCAAGAGGAGTCCGAGGACACTGGGCAGAAACTGGGAAGCACAGGGCCAAGAGACAGAGGGAAAAGGAGCCTGCAGGGTTAGAGGCTTGCACTTGGTAGAGCTAAACAAGGACAACAGGAAGAGAGTCTGAGTGCGCCTCACTGCTGGCAATATTTTATCTCTCCTTTTCTATCCCAGACAAAGGAAGAATTTTCATGCTTATGGGTTTAATGCATCCCTTGGGCTGCACATCAATGTCCTAAATTCATGAGAAGCTCCAAAATTATCTCTTCTTTGCTACTGCCCTTTCCTCATCCTCACCCCATGGTTGTCTCTCCCATCTGCTCCCAGGCAGAGCTAATGGAGCTCCCAGATCCTCATTAGTCCCCTCTAAGCCCCATCCCTTCAGACTGAGCTGGCTGGTGCCCCCTTACGACAACTTCCTACGGACCCAGCTCTGTTTTGCCATGCAGACATGCTGTTTTGCTGTGGTTTCAGAGCAATTGAGGAAAGGAAGGAGGGCAGGCTCTCCCCAGTCTCCTGCCCAGAAGGCACACCTTGGGGAGAAAAAGCCTTACCTAGAGGTACTGCTAAGCAGGAGCACAGGAAGGAGAGGTAGGGAGTGCTGCAGAAATGTCACTAAGCCTCTCACCACTGCCTACAGGTTCATTGGAAGGGATGGGCAATGGGGAAGGTACTTTCCAGAGACTTCTGGCAGGAGGACAAGTCTCCTATCTGCTTGTCCTGGTTTGATCTCCAGCTTTTACTGCTACTGTGCATTAAGAGAAGATGGGTGCATCTGAGGGCAGAGAGGATGGGTCTCCCCTCCCTCTGAAAAGGGTACTTTTAGCCCTGGGATCTGGTCAAGGGTGCACCTGGCTTATGGCTGAGCCTACACTGCAGTGAGCTGTAGTACCTGAAACTTGTAAAAGCACAGAGCTGGGCGCTGCATGGGCACAAGGGTCCCCATATCAGACAACTTCTGGGCTCAATTTGACCCCTGGGATTCAGGCCAAGAAGAGGACCCTGGTCCCATGTTCCAGTCCTGGGGATCAGGCCATGGAAGTGCAGGATGGGCAATACCACCAGGAAGAGCTCAGCTGCAGGGATGCCACCAGCTCCTCGGAGACCCACAGCCTGGCCAAGGGTCCTGGCATCTTCCCACAAGACAAATCTCATCAGGAAGTGTCCAGACAAGCAGCACTGCTGATGATATGCCGGGAATGAGAGGGGAGCAAGCAGGAGCCTGAGGATGAGTGATGCCAGACCTGGATCCTCTCCATCACCCACACACATTACTGTTCAGGCAAGAGCAAACAGTGCAATGGGTAAGACTAAATGGGCTGTCCATCACCTGGCTTCCCACCCTTCCCAACTGTCCATGTGTCCCATCTCTTCACAAAAACCCACACAGGCCCCTGAGACATTGACCACCGGTCCAGCACTGATGCTAAGAGAGATGTGCCTATGGGAAGTAGCCTCTTGCCTTGACATCAAGTAGGGGAGACCATCAGCATGGAGGACAACCAGCTCTTGCACTGGCAAACATGCCCAGGGCCTGTTCACAGCTCCCATGGACTCCTCTGCACCAGACAGCAATAAGAAGCCATCAGGGCTGCAGGAGAGGAGCAGTTTTAGCCCCTGCAGTGCTGCTCGCCTTGTCTGCAACTGCATGTGGGGCTCCAGAAGCAACAAACACAAACGTGAGGGATGCTGGTGACAGAAAACGTCCCCATACACCATGTCTTCGGAGGCAAGGGTCAAAACCAGTTCCAGTAAAGCCCCTGGAAGGGGTATTTTGTTTCTGTTGCTGCAGAGAAGCAGGTGGCTGTTTTGCTATGGTCCTTGAATAGGTGTGAATGCGCATGGAGACCCTGAGACTGCAGGAGATTGTGCCTGCAGTGACTTGCGCCCTTTGAATGCAGCTTGGGGATCATCCAAGGCAGGGGCCTACAAGAAATCTGGAGAGAGGCTTTTTACAAGGACATGTAGGGACAGGACAAGGGGGAATGGCTTTAAACTGAAAGGGGGGAGATTTACATTAGAAATTAAGAAGAACTTCTTTATGGTGAGGTGCTGGCACAGGTTACCCAGAGAATCTGCAGCTCCCCCATCCCTGGCAGTGTTCAAGGCCAGGTTGGACGGGGCTTGGAGCAACCTGCTCTAGTGGAAGGTGTCCCTGCCTATGGCAAGGGTTGGAACTGGATGAGTTTTAAGCTCCCTTCAACCTAAACCAGTCTATGATTCTATGGCATGCGAGAAAGAAGTGCTTTCAAGATCCTGGCAGCCAGAGCACAACCCAAAGTGTACTCAGTATTCTTAAATAGGTGCAGCCTTTTCTTTCTTTCCAGGCTTTGTGCACAGTCACCAGGAGAGCAGCTCTTTTGTTAGCTCCCTAGGAAAGCTTTTCAGTTATAGCTGTTTATAGCTGCACAACATGTGAAATACAGGTCCTGGGCATGGACAAAGGGCTGCAGGGATTGCTCCAGAACACCTTAGACCAAAGTGATCCCTGCACATCACCACAGACCTGCTGAGGGCATGTCTGGATTGTACTGCAGCAAAACCTGGTGCTGCCACAGCAATCCCTGAGGATGCAGTTTGGGTAGGTAAAGAGCAGGAAAAACACAGCTGGGAGAGAAAAACAGGAGGAACACTTTACACTGAAATTAGCTCTTGGCTGGATTTTTGACGTGGCAGTGACAGGCTGCTTTCTCTAAGGAAAGTGGCTGCTTCCCCCTGAAGAGATTGTTGACATTTGTACTAGAAAAACTCACTCTGTAGTTTATGAAACACTGAGCCCTGCTGGTCTGACAGATTTCCAAGAATGGGGCTCTGAAATAGGGAAAACTGATGCAGGGCTGGGGGAGGGAGAAACAGCCTGGACCTGGCTCAGGGCATCAATCAGGGGTAAGGGCAGCCTGCTGCTGGAGCTGGGACCTGGATCACCATCCCCTAGAGAGCCACAGGAAACAAGGATCTGCATTGCTGTGAGGAGGGCACATTTACTGATCCCGGAAGAGATGGGTACAGCTATGCTGTTGCAGGCAGGTTGACCAAGTGATGCCACAAACTGATGGAAATTGACAAACCTGCTTCCAGCATCCCAGAGAAGCTTCCCAAGGAACTGGGCCAGGACACAGTGCTCCTTGTCAGGTTATCCTCCAGCCAAGGATGAACCTGGTGTGCCCCAGGCTAAGCCCCTCCTGCAGCCCCAGGGACCCATATCAGCAGCAGCAGCTCAGCCGTGATGCAGATCCATATGGAACATCCCCCCCTTCCCCAACCATTGCCCCTCACAGGTCATCGAGCGAGCAGCAGGAAGGCTTTTGCCCCAACAAGTACCAGTTATCCTCCTTTCCCACTCACAGTTTATCTTGGCCTCTTCCCATACCAGCTTTCTCCCTCTTCCTACTCCGGATTGTATTGCTGGGGCTGTCACTGTAGTTAATGAGCTGGGACAGAGCCTGTGCTCTGGGAAAGTCACAACAAGAGACAGATGAGCCCAAGGCATTGCATGTTCGCAGGGAGGAGGGTCCCAAAGCAGGGAACACATGAAAAAGGAGCCCAGGGCAGCAACCAAGGGAGCAGCAGAACAGGGGAGGAAAGGGAACAGGGTTACGCTTGCATTCAACAAGTGTCAGCAGAAGCCATCTGGTGCCTGGACATCCTCTGGCTTGGACAGCCCAACCACTGCACCACTGTGGATGCCATTGCAGTGGCAACATGCCCACAGCCTTCAGGAATAGTCCCTGGCTTGTCTCACTGCCAGCCTGTGCCCTAGCTTGCCGGCTGGCACCAAAACCAGGGCAGGGGCAGTGAAAATGATTAGTGATGTGGACAGTCACATATGACACCATGGTCTTTGGGAGGAGAGCATGGAGCCTGGCTGCTGGCCATGCAGGTCCCACCCGTGGGCATTCAGCCCATGATTCAGCTGAACGGAGCAGCTTTACTCAAGCATCCCATGGATCATGCAAAAGGGCAGTGCCCAAGTGGACATGCGGCCACACTGGGGCAGCAAGGACAAAGTCCAGGAGATCCAAGGCTTGGGAAGATAATAGCCAAGGATTCCAAGCTCGTCAGTGACGAGGGGCAGGATCCACTCCATCCATGGGTGTGCCTAAGAGAAGATGTCTTCTCCTGGCTCCATCCCCAAAAGCTCTTTCTCCTTGCCTGCACCCCAGATGCTAGCAAGCTCCGAACTGCTGGGGCAGTCCATGCTGTGACTCAGTTTCCCTTCACTACAAGGACAAAAGGCCTGCTCCTGAACCTTTTCCTCCATGTCCCATGCCTCTGTGGGAGTTGAGAGCTCAACCCAGCAGTTCTGCTGGTGGGACTGAAGTGTTTTAGGCTGGATGGTGCAACACTGGCACGCTCCCTCCTACCCCATCTCTGCAATACGATGCCTTGGGGATCTGCTCTGTCAGCATGGATGAGCAGCACAGAGCAGAGCACCTGCCGCAACAAGATGCTAAGGTACTCCCAGGAGAGACTTGCAGCCCAGCTGCTGTAGAATGTGCCTTTCACCCCTATGAAAGCCCCTTTTCCCTATCCTTGCACCCCAGCATAGCCCCCGTTGCCATACAGCATCGCCGGCAGCGCTGCCTTGAGCACCCCATGCTGGCCTTTGGGCTCAAACACAAAGCAGGTCAACCACCAACTGGCTTTTTATTTAACAAAATCACAGCACAGTGAAAAAGAGGGAGAAACAACAACTTAGGTCTGTAATTGTTGCATTGAAGTGATCTAGCAGCAAATACCTGTGGCACGAACACTGCTTGTTCACACCAGGTAGGGTGTGAGCATGGTGGCAGGCTGGAGGACCAAGGAGGAGGGCAATCTCCCTGAGGACAGCAGGGGCTGAAGACAACGTCGCTGCCACCGCTCTGACACCACCGTGTTACTGGCTCTATTTCTACCCATGCAAGGAGGGCAAGAGGGGAAACAGTGCAGGGAAGTCAGGGCATGAGAGAGGAAATGCATAGACCATGGTATCCCCTAGGGCATCTATCTTGTGCCACAGTGCATGGTCAGTGAGGAATATCCCCATCACACCCCTCCATCCCCACACTGTCCTATCCTGGCAGCTCTTCCCAGGGATGCAGAAGGACTCAGGCTTGGGATTGATGATGGAAACCAAGGGATCAGAGTAGTTCTGAAGGTCCCAGCTGCTGTGCTGAAGGAAAGGCTGAGACACCCCAAACTCATCTTGCAGAACAGTCTCCATCAAACAGCATCCAGGCTGTGAAGGTGGTGGAGCTTCAGGTCCAACAGCCCCTGGCTCAGCCTCACACAGGCTGCTGGGTCACACTGGAGGTGATAGAGGGAAAAGGAGAGAGCAGGCAGCGCTCTGCCCAGCCCCACACACTGGCACGGGTGCTGAAGAGGGTTGGCGAGCGGCTGGACATGGAAGCAGGTTGGCTCCATTAGCTTCAGATTCACAGCTGGGAGCCAGCCCCACTCCAGATGCTGGGGCTGGCCACGGGCTTCTTTGGAACCTATTTGCCCTGGTGTTTGGCCTGGAAAGGTGAAAACCCCAGCAATGATGAGTGTGATCCTTGGGGCAGGAGCCTCCCCAGAGTCTCTTCCATGTGGACAGGGTGGTCACCAAGGGATGGATGACCTCCTGTGGCCAAGCCATTGCGATGGGGACCTGGCAGGGCTTGCAAAGCACCCACTAAACATATTGCAAGCCTGTGGCTGCGTTTACTTGGGGTGCAAGAGGGACTGTGAGAAGCCAAGCTGGTCCCAGGAGGAAGGATGGAGACAAGGTGCCTATGCCTCAGTAGAGCAGGTCCCAGCTCTTCCAAGCAGCACAGTCGCACTGGGAAGAGCCTGTTTGGTGATGGATAACCGCCCCCCCCCCCCCCCCCCCAACTGCCCCTATTTCCAGCTGAGAACAGGGATGGCTCTTACCTTCCTGGCAAAGCTGGCATTCAGCTTCTCTTGGAGACGAAGCACCCATGGGGCTTGGGGTGGGGCACAGAGGCGCTTGCCCTTTGTGGTGGTGAACCTGACAGGTCCATGGGGAAAAAGACCAAGGTGAGGTGAGCAGGACTCCCTCAGGATGCTCAAGCACAGCTCAAGCTCCCATCCACTGCCTCCCTCACTGCCCTCCTCCATCCCTACCTAAAGATGATTTTCTTCCCTGTCTTCTGTCCCATGTTTTCCCCTCCCAGCAGGTCCTGCTCTGACTGAGCCTTTAACCTCCAAGGTCTCTTCCCTATTCCCCCCAACCCCAAAACCAGCTCAACAAACCTCCTCCTCCAACTCTGCTTTGCCTCTCTCCCTGCCTCCCTGCAGGGTCCGTCCCTCGGTCATCACCAAGGGGCTCTTGGTGATCACCCCTGGGGCTGTGTCCCTCATCCATCACCACCCTGGGGCTGTTGCCTCTTACACAGCAGCTGGGATATCGCAGCCATCCTGCACGAGCTGGAGCCGGTAATCCTTCACTATCCGCAATGGGATGGGAGTGTTCTTCGTCCCCAGGCAGCAGTCAAGGACGTTGTTCCCACCGTGCACTGGAGGAGGAACACACCATGCAGCTGTTTGCAAGCACCTTCACCCAGCCATCCCGGAGGGTGAAGGTGCCATGGGGCAGGATGGTGCCTTATGCACATGCAGGCAAGAGCTTTATTGCTCCCACACCCCTTTGCCTCTTTCCAACAGAAAGCAGAGGAGATGAGAAACAGCAGGTTGGTAGAAGACAGCGTTTCTGCATGCCTGCATCCCTCCCATAGCACCAGCACCAGCACCAGCAGCAAGCAAGGCAGAGCAGGGGGCTTTATCTGTTTAGAGGATGCTGCAATGCAGACACCAGCAATCCCATCATAGGGCCCACCCAGCATGGATGGGTCCTGTGATATCTGAGGGACCCAGCTGCCTGCATTTCACTGTGGGATAGGGAACCTCAGTCACCCTCCAAGCAAATGCTGTATTCACTGTTAACACCCACTGAAGCTGACAGAGCCCAGGGATGCCTGTAACCCCATGCAGCAAGGTGTGGTGTAACACCACAAGCTACCTGAACTCCCCAGATCCCCACACCAGAGGCCTGGTATCACCCACCCAGACACCTGTGACCTGTGAAAACACCATATCCCACACAAGCAGCCCTCAAACACAGATTATGCACTAGCACACAACTTCCCTTCTGTTCTCAAGCCCTGCCGCTTGTCCCCGGCCTGCCCAATGCCAAAGGATGCTCCCTTTGGTAAGCTGGGCTAGGGCACAGGGAGGCAGGATTGCTCCACAGCCTTTCCCAAGCACAGCTTTCCAGACCCAGCACACTGCAGGCTGTTGCCTGGACTTTGGGCAGGATAAGGTCCTTCTGAGGTTACAACAGAGGGTGCAGAGGGCTGGGGCAGAGCCCCATGCCTGGATCTGTATAAGAGTCAGCTGGAAATGCAAAAGAGAGCAAGAGACCGGATCCTTTCCCTTCGCAGGAAAGGCAGACTGAGAGGTTCCCTCTTACCATCCAGCGTACATCCCAGCACCAGGAGACCAAGGCAGAGAAGCTGCAGGTTCTGCATTTTGCTGCTGAGTCTGGCAGTGGATGGGCTGGAGGCGATGGTGAGGTCCAGGCAGCAGAGGTGAGCTCTGCACTGCTGCTGGTTGCTCCCCGCTGCCTATTTATCCTTCCAGCCCGGTGGCTTTCACTTTCCACTGGAGAAGAGGGGTGGGAAGTTGCAACAAGTCTTACCACAGGCTGGATTTTAATCTAAGAGCAGTTCCCGAATATCCCATCTGCTTTCCCTGAAGCCAGCTGCTCTGTGGTCCCAGAGCCAAACACTCTCACAGCCAGCACACAGGCCACAGGGGCTGCAGCTCCAGGGTCCCTTTACCCTGTGAAAGCACCCGAGGGCTCTGGGCCAGCACATGAGGTGTCTCACCCCATTCAGTTGTTAGTCCTAGACGTCTCTGGGACATTCCCATTAGACATCGCACAGGCTCAACCCCCTGGTTGAAGCTGCTGGAAGAATTTGCCTCCACCCCAACTTTGGGATATGTATCAGTATCGGGGTGATGTCTGAGCCCCTGCATCTGGTTCCAGGAGCCTGTCTGGCTCCCTCTGCCCTCCCCAGCGCCTGGCAGTGAAGGCACATCCAAAGCTGATGCATGGAGGAGAGCCCAGCCGTCATTCTCTGCCCCAGGGCTGCGGTCTCACATGCCAAAAGACAACCTAGTTTCCAGGTGACCCAGCAACCGGGCTCATGGCTAGAGACAGACACAGAGCTTCCTGGAAACAGGTTTTCACAGCACAAGAGCAGAAATCGCCCACAGAGGCTGTGAGCACAGCAGCTCACATGGGCACTGCAGGGAGTGAACATCAGTGTTCCCACTGCAAACCTTATCAGGAGAGCAGGGATGGGGCTGTTTATCCAGGCGATGGTGACTCATAACCTGCCAGTGTCACCTGCAGTGATGTTCCTTAACCAGCCTGCTTCAGCCTTGTTACGTATCATTGTGGGATGCTGAGAGTAATGGGTTTGTGCAGCCCGGAGAAGGAATGGTGAAGGGGGTCTCACTGCTTTCAGCAGCTGCCTCAAAAGGGTTTGTATAGGTGCCTCAAAGGGGTTTGGAGAGGTGGAAGAGACAGGCTTTTCTTGGAGGGACTCAGGGACAGCACCAGGTGCACCCATAGAAATTCCCACTGATAATACGAAAATGTTTCCCCACAAGGGAGAAGAATTCCTAGAGCAGCATCTACATCCCCTCACCCTCCTCTTGCTCCAGATTTGGCCTGTCCTGGCATCTCAGTGGAAAGCGCTGCACAGCCCTTCCACAGGGACAATATATCTACCTGGGGACAAGACACAGGGCTGGGGCTTGGGGACCTCCGTGGGGACCTCTGCTCCTCTCAGGCAGCAGCAGCTCTGCCCCTTCCCCACTGCACAGTGAGAAGCAAGAGGAGACTCTTACCCTTTGGCCTTACCCAGGGGCTGCTACCACTGGCCCCAGTCCTCCATCCCTGCACTGACACCAGCCTCGTGCAAGGGATGGTCTCCTCCATCAGGAAAGCATCACCTCCGGCTGTTCCTGTGCCCTGGCAAGCCGGGGCTGTGCCGCAGGGGTTAGGCAGAATGAGCTGAACAAACAGGATGTGCCAGATTAACTTCAATCAGCACCTGCCTTCTTAGAGCACTCACAGGCTATTAGAGAGAAATCTTGGCTGGCAGAAGGGGAATTTAGGTGGAGGAGGATTAGCATCAGTCACCAGCCCCGGTCTTCCCGTGGGTTTGAGGACGCAGGGTAGCTCAGGGGCTGGTCTGCATTTGATCTCCCCGTGGTGCTGCCCAAGTGCTGCCGTAACAGGGAGAATCACAGCTCCTGGCTGCTGGGGCCCAGACCTCTAGGAGCAACCTGTCCTAAGCCACAGCCCGCTCCTCCCCAGCGGCAAAGAGGGAGTCCCAAAAGCAGAGCCCTGACCCACTGGCAATGGATGCTGGGGGTGCTGCCCATCAGCAGACCTCATGCTCGGTGAGCTCGCATGCCCAAGGCCTGGGAAGGGGTGCTGGGGGTCTGTCGTGTGGGGTGCTGGTCCCCAGCCACTTTCCTGGCACATGGGGCTCCCACCCGCTTCTGATTCCCATCTGGCTGCACACCAAAAGGAGCATGTCCAGTGTTGGGAATACATCCTGGGGGTAAACCCTGCCGACACACAGCCAGCAAAGAGGGTCTGCCTCCTCCCAGCAGCCGTCTGGGTGCCGAGTGGGTGAAAGCATGGATCTTCCCATCAGCTTTGCTTCCCAGGAGAGGCACGAGAGAGTGAGGAATGGGGCTTTCCGCTCGCGTTGTGAAAGGGGAATGTGGCGGGTTTCCCCCTCCACTGGGGTCAGTGGGATTTCTAAGAAGAGAGTGGTCATCTCTGAAGTGCATCCCTATGGCATGCAGGGAAGTTGCCCCATCCGCCTCACAGGGCTGAGCCTGGGGATCAGAGGAGACCATGCAGATGAGGAACAGGGAATGGCTCTGGATCCAGGCTCTTTAGAGGCACACGCAGGCAGGGAATGGTCAGGGAATCTGGTGCAATCTGGGAAAAAGGGAGAGCATTTTGCGCACTGACCCATTTAAGCCTCATGCAGAGCTATTTGGGAAGGCTGGAGATGCAGCCCTGAGGGTACCACAGGCACTGCAAAGCATTCCTGAGCGCTCACCCTGCAAAAGCCTTGGTAATGCAGTTATTAATTAAAGTGGAAATGAGGGGGAGTGCATGGGGGAGTCCCCCTGGGAAAGTGAACCCTTCAAAATGTAAATGGGCCATATGGGCATCAGCTCTAGGCTCTCCTCATTGAGCACCGGCATGCTGCCACCCTCATGGACACTTGCTATCAGCAGGATCCACCAAAGCAGCAGCTTCCAGCTGGCCTGTAGGCTCCAGCATGCTCCATGGGGTGCCTTGCAGTGCTCTGCTTTCCACCTCTGAGCTGCGGAGCTGGAAAGTGCAAAGGGGGAATTTCGGCAGCGTCCAGACACAGGCATTCCCTGGGGCAGCATCTGGCCTGGCTGCATCCACCTCATTGGGAAATACTGGACAGGCATTGTGTCTGTTCAATTTCCCTTGCAGCTCCCAGCATGAGGGAGTCTCCTGCAAGGCTCCCATTGCAGTGCCAAGTCCTGGGGCAGCACAGGGATTGGGGTCACCAGAAGCCCATGGGATTTGAGGCCCCCACTGGCTCTGCAATAGCTGACGGAACCCAGTCAATTTGATTTAAATGGAGCTAAGGGTTAAAAAAACAAAGCACGTCATGCCTTTGCCCAGAGGGAGCAAAGATGGTCCTGAGTATCTGGATGCAGAAGGTGCCAATTCCTGCTCTGTTAGAGCCCATCTGTCCCTAGCACTCATTGACTTCAATGTCACTGGTGTTGAGGTCACCATCAGTGACAGGCAGCAGAGCCAAGACCTTTCAGCTGGATCCCATTTGACCCCCTGAGGTGAGAACCCATCTCCCTGCAATGCACGTGTCTCTCAGCATCATTTTTGGGATGCATAATTTCCCAGCCAAGTGCTTCCTGCAAATGTCCACACGGGATGTGCTGTGATGGCACCAAGTCAGCAGTGTCCAGGTGGGATGCTACCAGCCCTGTCTCCCTGTTGTTACACTGCCTGTCCTCCTCTCTGCAACCTCTCATGGGTTTCAGGAAGGGATGGTTGGAAAACCAGTTGGAGACCTGTGCAACAATCAACCCATCAGCAATTTCCTTGCCATCTCCCCTGTGATGTGGCAGGGAGGATGCCTGGTGAGGCTTGCTGCATGCCGAGCTTACCCGTGGACAGATCTAACAGCACACGGGATGGATCAAAACCCCTGGGGCCTGCTCTTCTTCACTGCTTTGTTGATTCTTAGATTGATGGTGAGCAGAGGAGGCTCTTGCTCCGGTGCAGCTCTGAGGCATAGCTCAAATTGACCCTGCCATGGGATATCCTCAGGGGAGAGCAGGTGCTCTTCTGCTGTGCATTGGAAAGCCGCAGCCCAGGAGCAGGTCTGCAAACCCCAGCAGGGTGGGAGGGAAGCAGAGGGACCTGGGGCTCTGGGGAAGGGGAAGGAGAACAGGCAGCATGAGGACAGCCCAAAGCCAAGGCTCTCCAGCCAGCAAAACAGAGGATGGGGAAAGAGGCACTTGAGAGCTATGTGGAGTTGATAGGATGCTCCGGGCTGCGGACTACTAGCTCAGGATGGGTCCCAAGGATAGCCAGCGCTGGGAAATACCTTGGGGCAGGAAGGGTGGGAGTCCCTGTTGCCCACCTGCCACTTCTCCACCTCCTCTCTGCTCTCAAGACCATGACAGACCCCAAATGGAGAGAGCACCAAAACCCACCTCAAAGCTTCAGCTGGAAGCCACAGTTCCTCTGTCAACCACACAGCCCCAGTGTTCCAGCTTCACCAGCTCCTGCTCCTACGGAATGGCACAGGGCAGCGGGATGGAGCCAGTCTGCAGGTGAGCTGTGATGGAGCTCAGCCCAGCGCTGCAGCCCAACGTGCTCCACTACCAGCACAAGCCAATAACTTGAGCTATCATTTGGCACGAGTTCAAGACTTAGAATCACAGACTCCGCTGTTCCTGGCTGCACTCGGTGGTTTCTGTCTTGCCTGGATACTTTCTGCTGTTGCTGAAGCCTTTCTGCTCCAGGGTGGCAGAGCTCTCCTAGCCTGTTGCTCTGCTTGCCTTCCCTGTCTATGAGGGGCTGTATATACAGTCTATGGGGGGCTGTACATCCTCTGTCCCAGCACCCACTGCGTCAACACTGCCTTATCTTTGCACATGGGGTGAAGCAGCAGGTTTGGGAACCCTCTACGGTGTGAATCCTCCTCTGCTGCTTCACTGCGGCATCGTCTCAGAACATCTTCTTTATATTGCTTGTCTCATCTGTGGTCTGTGGGCTCAGCTCCTCTTTAGGGAACGGATGGGTTTGGGCCTGTGCTGCATGCTCCAGATTCTCACCCATCACCTCTTCCTTCAGCCTCTCCAAGGAAATCTCCCCAGAAGTGTTTCCCTGGTGCCGTCTCACCATGGCAGCAGCAGCACTGCAGCCATCTGCCTCACCAGCAAGAGGCTCCCACTACCCCTGACACCTTATTTTCCCTAAATGCAGCATTCTGCAGTAAAGCTGGAAGTGATGTGCAA